TTAAGTTCTTCTTCCATGGCAATGATCTAATCTGCATCTTGCAGAGCTTCATTAATTTTCTTAGGTTCAAACATAGATAGAGAAACATTGAATGTACATAGCTTTTTTAGTCTTGATCTAGTGGTTATTCCGGATCCAGGTATGTGAGAATGTTGTCAATTGGATGTGATCCTTGATACTGGTATCCTTTGAGGACTAAGTCTTGTGATTATACTATTTGGTTCTCTTGTTATATTGATGCATTGTTTCAATTTCCACCATTTGATGATATCACAACCCAAACTACTCCTAGTTGTGACATGACAAATAGGATCCCGAGAGACCCTAAACAGGCCATTTGATATAATCATGACACTATGAGTACAAAATAACAGAAATAAATCACAAAGTAGAAAGATAAGTCTCCAACCTAACGTCTCAACATAAGACAATTTGAGTACAAGACTGTAAATGCTGAATCATACTAGGTCTGACAACAAGCCTCTACTATCATAGGTGTGACTAAGACAAGCCCTAGCTCAAGAAATAAGTCTGAAAATTGAAAAAACTGAAATAGACAAAGAACTCATAGTGTGTAATCATGCCCTTGAACCATGAGGATTCACCACAAGCTATGTAAAGTTGAATCAATCCACTAGCCACGACCGAATGGAGGAATGTCAGACACTATATTATGTAGCAATATAGGCACACAAGATATATATGCATGAGTACTTGGAATGTACTGAATATGGAATAAATGCATAAACATAAATATGAAGCATGATAAGCCTTGAAAACATTAAAATGCATGACCAAGTAAAGCATGTTCAATCTTGATAAGCTAAATTCATAAATCATGGCACAAAGTCAATGTAATAATTGAAAACCATAACATAAACTTAAATCATAGTTTTTTGAGGAAGTCATAAACTCTTTGATAAAACCATAAACTTTTGTGGGATGTTTACCATTAACCCACATAAACCATGTGAGCTACAATATGGAGACCAGCGTACTACTCCCACACCAAAATGAGAGTGTCCTACTTGCCAAGGTAAGGACCATGTTCTTAAGCTTAAGTGGATCCACTAGCTAATATCTTTCTAAGTCAAAGTCCTACGGGGCACATAGTTATGGGAGAAGGGGATTGCTACTAAATAAACTCCAAATCTACTAATGTGTGAGCCTCCATCCCAAAGTTCACTCAGTTCTAAGTAAACTCCCAATGGAAAGGTATGTAATCATATCATGATCATTATATTTGGAAAGGTAAGAATCTAGTAATACTAATCCAATCATAAACTTTATATCATAGAATAGCTCCTTTCAAAATCATGATTTCATAACATATTCATAAAGACACTTATCTTAAGCATCAAAATCATGATCATATTTTCAAAACGAGAATACTTGAATTGGAATAAACTTTTCATAAAATGTATTGATGTTTTATCTAAATCATCCTTAATTCATAAAATTCCCCAATTCAGGATGCATGCATAATCTCAAAACATAGTTCATAATCATAAAGTAGATATATAGTATGAGTTCATATGAAAATCAAGGAAAACATGTGATTATGATCAAATAATGCATAACAAGATCAAATATAAAGAAATTAGTCACAAACAATTGAACACATGAGAAATTATGCAAAGCCCTAGAATTTGGGTTGGAATCAGAGAAGAGAAACAGAGAAATCTTAGGACTCAATGGATGAAAAAGGACCCCTTTATGAATATTCCACATACCTTTGAGAACCCTAGATTTTGAATTGTAGAAAGAAGCTTGGAACTTGAAGAACACTAGAAATCCTCTTGAATCTTGGGAGAAATTTTGGAGAAGAAACCTTGAGAGCTTTTGGGGTTTTGAGCGAATGAGTGAGAATGGGTAGTTTTTGAAGATTAAAATTAGTTATAGGACCTAGATATAGGCTAGAAATGACATAGTTTAGGCATTAAAAGGGTAGGAAAAAACCAATATGACCTTGAGTTAAAAGCATCCAAGGAACCTTACGAGACCATGTACGAGCGGTACAAGACCCTATGAACTGTCCTGGTCAATTATATGTGGTTTTACTTAAGACCCAAAAATCAAGGTCACAGACCATGTGTCACTTCCTATGGTCCGTTGACATTTCCATGGGCCGAAGGCCCTCTTGTAGTACCCAAGGCAACCAAAATTTCACCAAGTTTGAACCACTCCTACGAACCACCTTCTACGGCCCGTATATGCTCCTATGGACTGTCATGTTGGTCCATGGGAACCTTTTAGAGACTTGAAAATTTCAACATTCCAGGACCCCTTTCCTTGACTATCCTCCTATGGACCGTAGGACCCTATACGACCTATAGCTAGCCTCGTACAAATGTGCACCAACAACAAATTCTGCACTTCTCCTTTCCATCTCACTTTTCCAACTTCTCGAGTGATACAGATCAATTAAGTGTGCCTTATTTGAGATGTCACCATTGTCACAAGAGTGGATGTTGTGTCATCCTTTCCTACAAGGGTGGAACCTATTTCTTTCACTTGGTCTTACACAATTAATTCATAAGTCCTTGGCAGTTCATCATCATCCTGCAAACTTTCATTAGCCATAACATTGCTCTCGTCAAAGACTACATGCACACTTTCTTCAACACACATAGATTTTTTGTTTAACACTCTATAAGCTGTAATATGTGAAGAATATCCTAGAAAGGTTTCCTCATCACTTCTAGCATCGAAGTTTCCTAACAAGTTCTTTCTATTATTTTGGATATAGCACTTGCATTGAAAGGTTATTAAGTGAGAGATGTTAGGTTTTTTTCCTTTTGAGTAATTCATAGAGATTTTTGTCTCAAATAGGCTTCATTATGTAGCAAGCTACCATAATAGTCCTAGCCATATCTTTCAGAGTTCTATTTTTCCTTTCAGTCGCTCCATTTTGTTGAGGGGTTCGAGGAGCAGAAAAATTATGATCAACACCATGAGAGGAACAATATTGTACAAAATTTATTTTCAAATTCAATTCAATGGTCAGATCTAATAGTAGCTAGTTGTTTATCAAGTTTCTTTTCCAATTTTCTCACTTAAGTGTAGAATGCCTCAAATGCATCTTCTTTAGAAGCAAGAACTGTCCAAGTAAGCCTTGTGGAGTCAACTAGTACAAATATATATCTCTTGCCTCCTCTACTTTTTACCTGTTTCAAGGAGTTGAGCTGATGATCTGTTTGGATTTAAAAGATGTTTTTACTTGCTTACCTTGGGCACATGCTTCACAAACCTTGTCTTCCTTGAACTCAGTTTTAGGGAGCCCTATCACCAAGTCCTTGGGGATGAGTTCGTTTAGCTGAACATGAATGGCATGTCCCAGTCCTTGTGCCATAGTAGAGGATCGTTGCGCATCACACTTAGAGCCCGTTTGAATTGACTTAAAAGTTGGTCAAACCTACTTTTAAGTCATTATTAGATTTTGAGAGTGTTTGGAAAAGTTAAATATAACTCAAATAAGTTTGAAATGACTTTAAAAGGTTTAAAATCAAAAGTAGGACTCTCCATACTTCTTATTTTTTGACTTAAAAGCTATTTGTTTGGCCAATCCAAACAGGATCTTAGTCATGCACGATCTTCAGCTGGTACCTTTGCAATATAAAAAATGTACACATGCTTGTATATTTGTCAAGTGAAGACAGTCTACTCAATTTTCAAGTTTATCACTTCAACACATGTAGAGTAGAGGGTTACCTTCTCCTTTATCATAGAGTTGTGATAAGTTGAGTGGATTGTGGTTCAGTCCTTTAACATGGTATACCTTTTTAATTGCGTGTTTATTAGATTTACCTATCCTGCCAATGCCTTTGATTTTTCCTTTTTTTCCACCACCAAATGCAGCCATTCCACCCTCTCTTATTCAAGGGAGAGGAATTTTAATTTGTTTCCAGTTATATGGCTTGAGTAAGAACTATCCATGTACCGGTATTTCTTGCTTCCTCTCACTTTTTTCAGCAAATTTCAAGGGTTAGATTTAGGAGCCCAGATTTGCTTGGGTCCTTTCTTTAGATCAGAAGGATGAATGAGATCTCTATTCATCCATTTTTGTTAAAGTATTTCCAGTTTTTTTTAAAACATTCTTGTTCCTTCGATGTGATTCATTTTTGTTTTTTTTTGTTATGATAGCTTTGTTGTTTTTATTTATGTTAGCTCTATGTTTTGGACATGCAACCCTAGAGTTATTAATTACAATTTTGTCCCTATGTGTGTTGTTACTCGGTTGAGTCATAATCATGGATGACTGAGTCCATTTATTTGCTCTCTCAAGCTCATATTTAGTACTAGCCAGTTCCTGATTAATTCTTATAGATTTTTTTTTTCTGAAAACAATTCAATTTTAAGTCTCTTAAGATCCTGTTCACATCTGATAAGGTTATCAATAATCTTGCCCTATCCTTTTCCAATGACACTTAATTTCAAGATTTCAGTTTAAAGAGACTAGTTACAAGAATATGTTAGTACTAGAAACTAGAAAGAAGAAAAGACTTAGTTCAACAATGGTTCTTTTCATTCATATTAAGATTTCAAAAAACACACACACACATATATCTACATAAGCTTTTCCAAAGTAAGTAGAGGACCATACATATCGAACCACTATTGACTTTCTTACAAAACATATTCCACAAAACAAGGACTACCTTTCCTTTACATACTAAACATAATATTTATAAAGAACCATTAAAAAAAAACCATCTAAAAATATCTCATTTTCTAACACTCCTCCTTGAGATTTTTCTTTGACACTCCCAACTTAGCCCTTAGAACTTCAAATTTCCCCTTAGAAAGAGCCTTGGTCATGATGTCTGCAATCTGTTGATCTGGGTTGTTCATTGAACTTCGCCATCCTTCTATGATTGTCTGATAGCCTGAAACTTCACATTTATATGCTTGCTACGTCCATGTTGCACTGGATTATTGGCCATAGATATTGCTGACTTGTTTTCAACCTTAATGACAATAGCTCCAATGTCATTTTACTCCTAATCACGTAGAATCGTTCTTAACCTTAAAGACTGATTAGTTGCACCAGCAGCGGTGATGTATTCTACTTCTGCAGAAGGTTGAGCTACCACCTCTTGCTTCTTTGAATTCCATGAGAACATGCCTAAACTAAGTGTAAAAGCATATCCAGAAGTGCTCTTAATATCATCAGCACTACTTGCCCAATCACAATATGAATAACCCATTAGTTGCCCTTGCTCTTCGTTTTAAACCAAATACCATAATCAACAGTTCCTTTGATATATATCAATGTTCGTTTAGCAACACCAAGATGAACTTGACTTGGAGTTTGCATAAACCTCGATAGTAGACTTGCCGCGAACATGAGATCAGGTCTTGTTGCTGTCAAATACACCAAACTACCAATCAAACTTCTATAAACTATTAGATCAGCCTTGTCACCTCCTTCAAACTTCGAAATCTTTTCATTGTGAACCAGTGGGGTTGGTATAGGCTTGCACCTCTCCATCTTGAGCCTTTTAAGAATATCCCATGCATATTTTCTCTGAGAAATGAAGATTCCATCAGTAGCTTGATGAATCTCCATTGCCAGAAAGTAACTTATTTCATCCAAATCTGACATTTCAAACTTGGTCTCCATTTCTTGCATGAACTGATTCACCATTGCTTCATTGCTTCATGTTACCAGAAGATCATCAACATAGAGTGACACCACAAACACATCTCCTCCTTCAGTCTTCTTCACATATAAAGTGGCTTCATTTTCACTTCTCATGAAGTCACAATGAATGAGATGATCATCAATCTCAGTGTACCATGCTCAAGGAGCCTGCTTTAATCCATACAATGCCTTATGAAGTCGGTAGACTTTATCCTCCATTCCTACAACTTGAAAGCCTTCTGGTTGATCAACATAGATCTCCTCCCGAAACAGTACATTTAAGAATGTCGATTTCACATCCAAATGATACAACTTCCAATTTGACTGAGCTGCCAAAGCAAATAACAACCTTATTGTATTATGTCATGCAACAGGTACAAACGTGTCTCCATAATCCATACCTACAACTTGCGCGTAACCTTTCACAACAAGCCTTGCTTTGTATTTATAAACTGAGCTATCTGGATTAAATTTGGCTCTATAAACCCACTCCACCACGATCACATTTTTGTTTTTTAGTTTATCAACCAAATTCCAAGTATCATTCTTTTCTATCATACCAATCTCCTCCTACATAGCTTCAATCCAAACTCATGTCTTGATGCTTCTTGATAGCTATTTGGTTTTGAAATTGCCACATTACATCTTTCTTATATCTCGGAGAGGGACCTTCTCTTCCAAATTGGTGAATCAAGTGATGATTCCCCATCTGGTTCTTCGTCTTCTTCCAGCGTTTCAGACCCAAATGATTGGGTTTCAGGCAGTGGACTCAAGTTCTAAAAAATGCATTATCTTTCTCAATTTTCTCCTTATCCTAGTTTCAATAAGAATGCTCATCCACGACTACATCTCTTCGAATTGAAATACTTTTTGTTTTCAAGTTGAAAACTCTATAACCCTTGGCTTGTGATGAATAACCAATAAATATCCCCAATTCACCTTTTGGTTCAAGTTTGGTTCTTTTGACTAAAGGAACATGAGAATAGCATATCGAACCAAAAACTTTTAAATGCTTGGCAGATGGTTGTATTCCACTCCATGCCTCAATAGGAGTCTTTTCATCCACAACTTTTATTGGCAGCCTATTTAACAAATACACTCAAGTATGAATAGCTTCTACCCAAAAGCTTTGTGGCAGTTTCTTTTCCAGCAACAAACATCTAGCCATTTCAACTACCGTTTTGTTCTTTCTCTCCGACACTCCATTTTGTTCGGGTGAATACCTTACTGTCAACTTGTGATCAATCCCCATATCTTCACAATACTTATTGAACTCATTTGAAGTGTATTCAACACCTTTGTCCGACCTCAAAACCTTGCTTACAACCACTCCGTCTTTCCGCAAAAGCTCTAAATTTCTTGAAAAGAGAAAATACGTATGACTTGTTACTCAAAAAAAACACCTAAATCATCCTTGATAAGTCATTAATAAATAGCACAAAATATTTATTGTGTCCTAAAGATGATGTCTGCATAGGTCCACACACATCAGTTTGAACTAGTTCAAGTTTTTTAGTTACCCTCCAGTTAGCATTTTTAGGAAATTATTTCCTATGTAGCTTACCCATCTAACACGACTCACAAACTTCTTTAGACAGTGAAATCTTAGGTAAATCCTTAGTCAAGCTCTTTTCATATAGTCTTTAAAGTAGCATAGTTAAAATGATCATATCTTTTGTGCCACAACCATGATCATCCTTACGTGCAAAATTTGCACTATCAAACCTCCCATCTAAAGGAAAAGTTTTGTCCACCATTTCTACTTTAACAATCAAACTATCTTCGGAGTCAAAAATCAAACAATGTTTTTCCTTACAAAAATAAGGAATAGCCTTTAGACATCATTTGAGCCACACTTAACAAGTCACATGCTAAAGAAGGAACATACAACACATCATGTATAAACTTTGTACCTTGTGTAGTCTGAAAGGTAACTGAACCATTTCCAAGTGCATCTACCGTCTCACCATTTCCCATCCTTACTTTAGTTTTGATTGACTTGTCAAGTGTATGAAACATGAGTTCATTTTGTGACATATGACTTGTATATCCACTATCTATGAATCATGTAGATTTGTTGGTTGCGTTTCCTTCATGAGAAACCATAAACAAGCTTTCTTCTTCCTTTTCGGACTCGTCAGTAAAATTTCCTTGCTGGACATGGCGTTGTTGTGGTTGATTCTTCTTGAGCCTACAATTATTCTCAATATGACCCATTTTTCTACAAAACCTGGATTGATAAGGTCTCGTGATCACAAGATTCTTCTATTGCTGAAATCTTAGACTCAAACCTTGTTGGTAGGCTTATCATCATCTTCTCCACCACTTTCGAATCTGGAAATGTTTCACCAAACAGCCTTACTTTGTTTGCAATCTCCACAAGTTTGGCAGAATATTCTTTCACATTATCTCCTTATTTCATCCTTAACATCTCAAATTCTCTTTTGAGAGTTAAGAGTTTGACAGTCTTCACTCTGTCACTTCCTTCGAACTCCTCTTTTAGCTTCTCTCATACTTCTTTAGGTGTTTCACAAGCCATTATTCTTGTGAAAATCACATCTGAAAGTGATGAATGAAGACGTGTGAGAGCCTTGGGTTCCTTGACTTTGCATTTTCATAAATCTTCATTTGTGCAACTACTGAATTTGGTCCAAGTGGAAGAGGATCATCTTCACTTTAAATTGTTTCTCATAGACTAAGAGCTTTGAGATAAGCCTTCATCTTTATCACGCATATGTGATAATTTTCTCCTGTAAACATAGGAGGGCCTGCACCCAAGAAGCTATTGGATGTCATGTTACTGCTGCTCAACTCTCACCTTAGAAGAACTGGAGAAAAAACCTTAGCCTTATTGCCTTCACAGATCCCTCAAGAAAAAGGGCTCTTGATACCAGTGTTAGTATTAGAAATTAGAAATAAGAAAGGACTTAGTTCAACACCAGTTCTTTTCATTCATATTAAGATTTCAAAATGCATACACACATATATCTACATAAGCTTTTCCAAAGTAAGTAGAGGACCATACATATCCAACCACTATTGACTTTCTTACAAAATATATATTCGATAAAACAAGGACAACCTTTCCCTTGCATACTAAACATAATATTTAAAAAGAACCATTAAACAAAAACCATCTAGAAATATCATTTTCTAACAGAATCATGTTGGTCAACCTTTTCCTTGTAGAAGTTGGTTTTCCTCTTTAGACCAATGTTGATTTTTTCAAGATCAATGTATTCAAATTTTCAGCTGGTTATAGAGGCTAGCAACTAGTTCCTGCTATCATTCAAAGTTGAACATTTTCTATGAGAGTTAGCATTCTGCAATCTTGTTTCTCGATATCAATTGCTTTTTAATCTTCAATCCAATTTATCTCAAATATGATCTCTCACTTATTTGATTATGTTCTGCTTGTAGCTCTCTATGTAAGTGTGTAAATATCTTTGTGAAACCCTTACTGTATTTATAGATTCAAGCTTCTCCTTCTTTATACGACTTTGCTATCCTTATAGACTTTCACTATGAAAGTAAACTTTATGCAAACAAGTCTTTTGTCATAAACATGATTCATCCACCGCCTTTTATCCTTTTTCTTCACGTGATACCTCTTCTCCTAATCCTAGTTATACTCTCTGTGATAGGAACATATTTCAGTAACCGGCTCCCCGCATCTATTCACCTATTTGTTAATTATCAAAATCTTACTCGATCTAACATATTATGCTAATATATTATTATATATCTCTATCTCTTGTTCACTTTTCTGTATGTGACTCTTTGGTTCTTGATCCATATATAGCGCCATATATTGCATAATTCATGTGGTTTCTAAACTAGTTGCTTTTGTTCATCCATTATATTATTTTTTGCTTTTTTTTTCAATTTTTGGTATTTTTAGTTGGCCCTACATTCTCCACTTGATTCAATAGTTTAGTAGATTCATATTTCATTTACATCTTGGGAATGATGGTGGACTAAGGTCATGTCTTCGATTAAGGTCTGGAGCAAGGGGAAGTAGGCGTAAGGGGGTTAAAGTTTCTTCTATGTTGAGAGTAGGGTCATGGAACACAAGGTCACTAATGGGAAGGTCCATAGAGTTGGTGAATATTATCAGAAGTAGAAGATACATATACCTTGTGTTGAGACCAGATGGGTAGGTACCAAGGTGAGGGATGTGGACAAGTTTAATTTATGGTACTCAAGAGTCTCGAGGGATAGAAATAAAGTAGGTGTTCTAGTAGACGAGGACCTTAGGGAATGAGTGGTGGAGGTTAGGAGGATCAATTATAGGATGATGACGATTAAGCTAGTCATTGGTAGGATAAATTTGAATGTCATTAGTACTTGTGTGAATCAAGTGGGCCTAGATAAGGAAGCCAAAATGTTTGTTGGGAGGATTTAGATGAGGTAGTGAGAGGTATACCGAACACCGAGAAGATTTTCACAGGTAGAGATTTTAATGGCTATATTAGGGAAACTTTAAGTGGCTTTGATTAGAATTCAAATGCATTAACTAGAAAATATGAATATAATTGCACAAACTTAAAATAAAAAAGAGAAATTTATTTAATACAATCTAAAAAGGACATCTTTAGGTGATGTTTTGAGAAAGATTTAATGGATTGACTATATTTTGAATAGTAAAAGAATTATTAGAGAAATAGTTATATTAAGAAAAATGACGATTACTAACTTTTAACTTAAAAAACTAGAAAAAAATACTTTACATAAGAATAGACATGAGAATTTTTTTTTCAAAAAAAAGTAAGGCCTCTTATAAAGTTTTGTTTTAGGCCACAAATGTTATTGAGCAACCCCTGTCACATGATTACCACGTGACAATTACATTTGAATCCAATTATACGATGACGTTTATAAAAGGCCTTAAATATTTTTTATCATTGTATTTTTCTACTCAACTCGTGAGGAGGAGGATTTTTAATTTGATTGGCACGCATGGTGCCAGAGGGAGGGAGGGACACGAGGGATGACTTAATAGG